GAAAGCTAGAAGATCCTGGAATAACATATTTCAAACACTGAAAGAAAATGGGTTCCAACCAAGAATTGTGTATCCAGCGAAATTAAGCTTCAGGATGGAGAATGAAATTAAAACCTTCCACGATAAACAAAAGTTTAAAGAATTCGCAGCTAGAAAACCATCTCTTCAAAACATCCTCGCCAAAGCATTACAGGAAGAGGAAATGGAAAATAACAATGAAAACCAACAGTGGGAGGTAGGACAGTAAAGGGGGGGGGAAATAATCAAAGAGGAAAACAAACAATGTTTAGTAACAGAAATAAACAAATATGGCTGGAAGAACAACCCATATCTCAATAATAACCCTAAATGTTAATGGCTTAAACTCACCAATTAAGAGACACAGGCTAGTAGAATGGATCACAAAACAAGACCCAACAATATGCTGCCTACAGGAGACGCATTTGATAGGAAAAGACATACATAGGCTGAAGGTGAAAGGTTGGGAAAAATCATATCACTCATATGGACTTCGGAAACAAGCAGGCGTGTCCATACTCATATCAAATAAAATAGATTTCAAGCCAAAGTTAATCAAAAGGGATAAAGAGGGACACTACATACTGCTTAAGGGAACCATACACCAACAAGACATAACAATCATAAATATTTATGCCCCAAACAATGGTGCAGCTATGTTCGTCAAACAAACTCTTCTCAAGTTCAAGAGTCTAATAGACCACCACACCATAATCATGGGAGACTTCAACACACCTCTCTCGCCACTGGACAGATCTTCCAAACAAAAGTTGAATAAGGAAACTATAGAACTCAATAACACTATTAATAACCTAGACCTAATTGACATATATAGAGTATACCACCCAACATCAAGCAGTTACACTTTTTTCTCAGCAGCACATGGATCCTTCTCAAAAATAGATCATATATTATGTCACAGGGCAACTCTTAGACAATATAAAGGAGTAGAGATAATACCATGCAGCTTATCTGATCATAATGGAATGGAACTGAAAATCAACGATAAAGAAGGAAGGAAAAAGCATACATCACTTGGAGAATGAACAATAGGTTACTGAATGATCAATGGGTTATAGAAGACATCAAGGAGGAAATTAAAAAATTCTTAGAGATAAATGAAAACACAGACACAACATATCGGAATCTATGGGACACATTGAAAGCAGTTCTAAGAGGAAAATTCATTGCTTGGAGTTCATTCCTTAAAAAAAGAAGAAACCAACAAATAAATGATCTCATACTTCATCTCAAAATCCTTGAAAAAGAAGAGCAAAACAACAGCAAAAGAAGTAGAAGGCAAGAAATAATGAAAATCAGAGCTGAAATTAATGAAATCGAAACAAAAGAAACAATTGAAAAAATTGACAAAACTAAAAGTTGGTTCTTTGAAAAAATAAACAAAATCGACAGACCCTTAGCGATGCTAGCGAAGAGAAGAAGAGAGAGAACTCAAATTACTAGCATACGGGATGAAAAAGGCAATATCACAACAGACACTTCAGAAATACAGAAGATAATCAAAAACTATTTTGAATCCTTATACTCCAATAAATTAGAAGATAGTGAAGGCATAGATAAATTTCTTAAGTCATATGATCTGCCCAGATTGAGTCAGGAGGATATAGAAAACCTAAACAGACCAATATCAATTGAGGAAATAGAAGAAACCATAAAAAGAGTACCAACTAAGAAAAGCCCAGGTCCGGATGGGTATACAGCAGAATTTTACAAAACCTTTAAAGAAGAACTAATACCAATACTTTTCAAGCTACTTCAGGAAATAGAAAAGGAGGGAGAACTTCCAAATTCATTCTATGAGGCCAACATCACCCTGATACCTAAACCAGACAAAGACACTTCAAAGAAAGAAAACTACAGACCAATATCTCTAATGAACCTAGATGCAAAAATCCTCAATAAAATTCTGGCGAATCGGATAGAAAAACATATCAAAAAAATTGTACACCATGATCAAGTAGGATTCATCCCTGGGATGCAAGGCTGGTTCAATATACGGAAATCAATAAATGTTATTCACCACATCAATAGACTTAAAAATAAGAACCATATGATCATCTCGATAGATGCGGAAAAAGCATTCGACAAAGCACAGCATCCCTTTATGTTCAAAACTCTAGAAAAACTAGGGATAACAGGAACTTACCTCAATATTGTAAAAGCAATCTATGCTAAGCCTCAGGCTAGCATCATTCTGAATGGAGAAAAACTGAAGGCATTCCCTCTAAAATCTGGAACAAGACAGGGATGCCCTCTCTCTCCACTTCTCTTCAACATAGTTCTCGAAACACTGGCCAGAGCAATTAGACAGACGAAAGAAATTAAAGGCATAAAAATAGGAAAAGAAGAAATTAAATTATCACTATTTGCAGATGATATGATTCTATATCTAGCAGACCCAAAAGGCTCTACAAAGAAACTATTGGAGCTAATAAATGAATTCAGCAAAGTGGCAGGATTTAAAATCAACACGCATAAATCAAAGGCATTCCTGTATATCAGCGACAAATCCTCTGAAATGGAAATGAGGACAACCACTCCATTCAAAATATCTTCAAAAAAAATAAAATACTTGGGAATCAACCTAACAAAAGAGGTGAAAGACTTATACAATGAAAACTACAGAACCCTAAGGAGAGAAATAGAAGAAGATCTTAGAAGATGGAAAAATATACCCTGTTCATGGATAGGCAGAACTAACATCATCAAAATGGCGATATTACCAAAAGTTCTCTATAGGTTTAATGCAATGCCAATCAAAATCCCAACGGCATTTCTTGTAGAAATAGAGAAAGCAATCATGAAATTCATATGGAAAAACAAAAGACCCAGAATAGCAAAAACAATGCTAAGCAGGAAGTGTGAATCAGGCGGTATAGCGATACCAGACTTCAAACTATACTACAGAGCAATAGTAACAAAAACAGCATGGTACTGGTACCAAAACAGGCGGGTGGACCAATGGTACAGAATAGAGGACACAGAAACCAATCCACAAAACTACAACTATCTTATATTTGATAAAGGGGCTAAAAGCATGCAATGGAGGAAGGATAGCATCTTCAACAAATGGTGCTGGGAAAACTGGAAATCCATATGCAACAAAATGAAACTGAATCCCTTTCTCTCGCCATGCACAAAAGTGAATTCAAAATGGATCAAGGAGCTTGATATCAAATCAGAGACATGCCATCTGATAGAAGAAAAAGTTGGCTACGATCTACATTCGGTGGGGTCGGGCTCCAAATTCCTCAATACGACACCCATAGCACAAAAGTTAATAACTAGAATCAACAAATGGGACTTACTCAAACTAAAAAGTTTTTTCTCAGCAAAAGAAACAATAAGAGAGGTAAATAGGGAGCCTACATCCTGGGAACAAATCTTTACTCCTCACACTTCAGATAGAGCCCTAATATCCAGAGTATACAAAGAACTCAAAAAATTAGACAATAAGAGAACAAACAACCCAATCAACAAATGGGCCAAGGACCTGAACAGACACTTCTCAGAGGAGGACATACAGTCAATCAACAAGTACATGAAAAAATGCTCACCATCTCTAGCTGTCAGAGAAATGCAAATCAAAACCACCCTAAGATACCATCTCACTCCAGTAAGATTGGCAGCCATTAGGAAGTCAAACAACAACAAGTGCTGGCAAGGATGTGGGGAAAAGGGTACACTTGTACATTGCTGGTGGGACTGCAGATTGGTGCAGCCAATTTGGAAAGCAGTATGGAGATTTCTTGGAAAGCTGGGAATGGAGCCACCATTTGACCCAGCTATTCCCCTTCTTGGTCTATTCCCTAAAGACCTAAAAAGAGCATGCTACAGGGACACTGCTACATCGATGTTCATAGCAGCACAATTCACAATAGCTAGACTGTGGAACCAACCTAGATGCCCTTCAATAGACGAATGGATAAAAAAAAATGTGGCATTTATACACAATGGAGTATTACTCTGCATTAAAAAATGACAAAATCATAGAATTTACAGGGAAATGGATGGCATTAGAGCAGATTATGCTAAGTGAAGCTAGCCAATCCCTAAAAAACAAATGCCAAATGTCTTCTTTGATATAAGGAAAGTAACTAAGAACAGAGTAGGGACGAAGAACAGGAGAAGAAGATTAACGTTTAACAGGGATGAGAGGTGGGAGGGAAAGGGAGAGAGAAGGGAAATTGTACGGTAATGGAAGGAGACCCTCAGGGTTATACAGTGGAGGGGGTAGAGAGAGAGGAGGGGAGGGGAGGGGAGAGGTGGGGAGGGGGGAGGGTGGATGATGGGAAAGGCAGCGGAGCACAACAGGCACTAGTATGGCAATTTGTAAATCAATGGATGTGTAACTGATGTGAATCTGCAATCTGTGTATGGGGTGAAGGTGGGAGTTCATAACCCACTTGAATCAAAGTGTGGAATATGATATGTCAAGAAATTTGTAATGTTTTGAACAACCCACAATAAAAAATAAAAAAAAAAAAAGATATATGGTTAATGGGATTTCATTGAAAAATAGCTTTCTATATACACCCCTTGTTTCCTCTCTTCGTAAATATTAAAGTTATTTATTAAAGTCTAATTTATTAAAGGATCAAGGGTCAATTTTAAAATAATGAATTATCATTTTAGTATTGTATTAAACATATTAATATAAATAAATATTGAATAGTTAATACTTATTAAATCACTAATTCTGAGTAATAAACCACTCCAAAATACAATATTAAAAGAGTTATTTTTTTTTTCATGATTAGTGGGTCAGTAATATTGGATAGACTCAGTTGATCCTTGTGCTGGTCCCATGTGGGATCATTCCTGTGATTGTGGTCACCTGATGGCTTTACGGGGAGGCTCCTGCCCACAGGGCTTGTCTCATTGCCCCGCAGGTTAGCCTAAGCTGGCTCCTGTGGTGGCATGGTGTTCCAAGAGTGAAACTGGAAGCTGTAAGGCCCAGATATGGAAGTTTCACACCATCACTTTCATCACATTCTATTTATTGAAGTAAGAGCCAAGGCCAGCCAGATAAAAGAAACCAGGAAGTAGACTGAACCTCTTTTTTAAAAAAATATGCATATATTTTTATTTGTAGTTGGACACAATACCTTTATTTTATTTATTTATTTTTATGTAGTGCTAAGAATCAAACCCAGGACCTTGCATGTGCTAGGCGAGCGCTCTACCGCTGAGCCACGACCCCAGCCCTAGACTGAATCTCTTGATGGAGGCTGTGTGCACCCAGGGAAAGAGAAATTGTTATAGTCATTTATGCAAATGATCTGCCTTTTTCACTAATAAATCCATATTTATTATAGTTATTGTAGTTGCACAATAGTTTCATTTTAAGATTAAAACAAAAAGTATTACCCATAGAAAGTTCCACTCCCGGATCATTTATCCTACTTTGAGTTCCTGATTTACTCTTCACTATTAAATAATCACTTGACAGCTATTTAGTAGCTATCACTTGGCATAATTGCAAAGGGGGTGAAAAAGGAGTCAGGTTATGCCTTTTTCTATGGCTTGCTCCCAGAATCCAACAAATAATATCAATTAGAAAATATCAAATCTCCAACATCCCTTCTTCTGAGTTCTCATATTGTCTTCAGTCTTTTCTCCAGTATCCTCACATCAATGCAGGAAGCTTAGGAGAAGATAACTGACTTAAGAAAGACAGCAAATGGGCTGTGGATGTGGCTCAAGCAGTAGTACGCTCGCCTGGCATGTGTGTGGCCCGGGTTCGATCCTCAGCACCACATACAAACAAAGATGTTGTGTCCGCTGAAAACTAAAAAATAAATATTAAAATTCTCTCTCTCTCTCAAAAAAAAAAGGAAAGAAAGAAAGAAAGATGGCAAATGATCCCTCTCCTCAGTTTATACCCAAAGAACTTAAAAACAGCATACAACAGGGGCACAGCCACATCAATGTTTATAGCAGCACCATTCACAATAGTTAAATTGTGGTCCCAACCTAGATACCCTTCCATAGATGAATTGATAAAGAAAATGTGGTACATATACACAATGGAATATTACTCAGCATTAAAAGAGAATAAAATCATGGCCTTTGCAGGTAAAGGGATGGAGTTGAGAATATAATGCTAAAGGAACTAAGCCAATCCCAAAAAACCAAATGCCAAACATCTTCTCTGATATAAGGATGCTGATTCATAATGTGTGGAAAGCATAGGAGGACTAGACAAACTTTATATAGGGAAAGAGGAGGGAGGGGAAGGAAGGTGTATAGCGGTAGGAAAGACGGTGGAATGAGATGGACATCATTACCCTAAGTACATATATGAAAACATGAATGGTGTGATTCTACTTTGTGTTCAACCAGAGACATGAAAAACTGTGCTCTATTTGTGTAATATGAATTGAATTGCATTCTACTGTCATATATAACTAATAAGAATAAATAAAATAAAATAATTTACAAAGAAAGACAGCAAATGAAATATGATTGATTTTTATTATGTGGGGCTATAGACTCTTCTATAATTTAATTTCATTGTCAATATTGTCATATAGGGTGTTGTTATAGTGATAACTATGTGTTGAAAAGGGAATTCCCCAAAGCTATTACTATATGTGTGTACCTTTTCCCTTCTCCATGGCCCTTACTGCCATCTAACGTAACACAGAATTTAATTATTGATTTTTGCTTGTTAACTGTTCCCCCTGCTAGAATTTAGGTTCATAAAAGGCAGGGATCTTTGTCTTTTTAATTCACTGATGTGTCCCCAAGGATTAGAACTGTGGCTGGCATCGGGAAAACATTCACCAGGTAGTGTGGTCTGAATGAGGAGGGAGTTATGGACCATTGCTGCTGGAAGATGGTGCAGATAAATCGCCCCACCTTTTACAGGATATACCTATGTCGGTGACCTTGCTGACAGCTCTTGTGGTAGAGTAGTGAGGAAAAGAACCTCACTACTATGAGAAAGTAGAGAGGAGCTAGAGGACAGAATAGGGAGGGAGCCTAAGATGAGAAAGTAAAGACTGGAATAAAGACAATACTGATGACTTTGAAGAGCTGGGAGTTTGCTTCCTGAGATGGGTAATAACATATAGGAGGAAACCAGCCCACAAAAAGGAAGAAAAAGATGATTTTTTTTCCCTTCTGGACAAAAATCAGTAATGGTACAAACTCCCTGAGAATTTGCAAGAAGAACTTAGGGCTCAAGAAGAGAGGTACCATAAAGAGGAGGTACATTTCTTCCACTGAGATTGGATGGATGCCAGCATATGTGGACACAGATGCAGGTGGGAGGAAATCCCGTGGCAGAACTGGAGGAAGTTGTTGAAGAAAGAAGAGGAAATGTCAGTGATTTTAAATAGAAAATGTGTGCTCTTGCCTTCTGGAGGAGAAAGTGCGTTCACTGGCAGTGGGGTCCTTTGTATTCCTGTTAGGATAAGGCATGGTGGAAGATGGCATTTACCAAGGCAGGATGCCACTTCACCCTCACTCTGGCTTCTCATCCATTGCTTTCCACCACAGTGAGTGGCATTGTGGCCCACGCAGCTGCACAGGACTGAAACCTGGAGTCATCTTTGTCTCTTCCCTCTTGCCCTCCACATCAAATTTATCACCAAATCCTCTTGATGACTCTTTCTAAACACTTTTTGAATCTCTTATCTTTATCCCCACTGCCATTCTCTTAGATCTGGTGACCTGAGTTACTGAAGGTTAGGTTGCCAATGGGTTTCAGTCTTCGGTCCTTTTCATTTCTGTAAAATTTTCTACATGTGGCTCAAGGAATCATTCCCAAAAGATCTGATCATGATCCTCCCCTGCTGGTCTGTGTCTCCTGATTGTTGTCAAGTAAAAGTCTCAATTCTTCAACCTTGGCATGCAAAACTTCATGCTCTGACTCCTGCCTACCTCCTCGTGAAGACAAAGACCTTGGGAGAAGAGAGAACAACAACATATTTTTGAAAATATGGATACACCGAATGGATTTGGCTGACCAGAGATACTTTTAATATGTTTTAAATATAACTTTAGTTGAAAATTAATAACTAGAAAGTTGTTTACATTAGGCAAAAAGTACAGAGGTTTATAGAATGAGAATATTACCTAAATCAATGACAGAGAAAAACACTAGCAAAAAATATTAAGCATGTATTAGGGACTAGGATAGTGCCCAGAGGAAGTAGTATTATCTATAAAATCTAAGGTAAAAATATATGTAAAAATAACCTAGCCATGGCCAAAGCCTGCAACTGTTTGAATATCAAAAAGAATAATAAAGCATAATAACTTAGTGAATTGAATGATGAAAATCCATGTGTCTATAAAGGCGGGGTGTGTATGTGTGTGTGTGGGGGAGAGACACCAAAACAGAACTAATGTGGTCATTTGAAAGGGCTTGTGTATTGACTTTCTATTTTGACAATTAGTAACTAAAGAGAAGGATTTAAGCATTATCCAAATTTTCTGTAAGAAATTTATCTTAGAATAACTAAATAGCCTCAACTGATGAGGGAAAGTTCTACTTTACAGAAGAATGTTAGCCAAGAATGTAGAAAGCATTCTATAATCCCTATTAAAATTATTGACTTAGGGGCTGGGGTTGTGACTCAGTGGTAGAGCACTTGCCTAGCATGTGTAAGGCATTGGGTTCAATTCTCAGCACCACATATAAATAAATTAAACAATAAAAGTCCACTGACAACCAAAAAGAATATTTTAAAAATTATCAACTTAGACAAGTATGCTCAATTGTTCTTAAAATATGTAGGTATATGATTGATAGGACCTAGACATTCACAAAAGTAATACCAGAGATCACTATCTTGTTTCAAGGGATAAAGGGAGAATTAATTTTTAAATTAAAAGCCCAGGAGATCATACCATTGCCTAGGTGAGAATGCTAACAATCTTCTCTAACAAAAATGCAATACAAAATGCATCTATGATACATTCTAGCCACACACACACACACACACACAAAATGCTTTAACTCATCAAATCTTAACTTTCAGATTTAAATTTTAGGGGTTGAGGAAATTGAATGGCATAGTAAAATAACAAGCAAACAAACTCAGAGAGTGGGACAGTTAGCTAGGTTCTTTCAACAAATTAAGGTCATAACAAAGAGAAAAATGGTCTGTGAGGCAAAGCGAGATTTGAAACTAGGTTGTGGTTTGAACAAATGAACCATAAAGAACATTTTGAGAACATATTTTGGAAATTTGAATATGGCCTAGACAAGATGAAAATATATTGATGGAAAGCTAGAGAACCTTATGTAAAATTAGCAGATAACAAAAACAGCATAGTAGGTCACATTTTGGCAAAGCATGTACATAAACATCTGGAAGGATGTACACTATGGTGTTTGCAGTAGTTATTTCCTGGTGGTAGAACTATGGTGTGCTCTACCAGTTTTTATTCTCTAGTTTTTTTTTAAAATGCAGTTTTCTACAATGCATGCATCAATATTTAATGATAATAAATAGTACAAATAGGCCAAATGTGCAAAGAAGATGGGCAAGGAGTCTCTACAGACAGTGAAGCATAGCGCCTCTGCAGTTTCCACAGCTAGGGTAGGAGCCCTGGATCCTGGCCCTTTATTTCATTCATCAGATTGCATCTGAGGGAAGGAAGAGATTCCTGAGTAAGTCATCCCCAAACAGAAGATTTTGATGGGCCATTTTCACCTGTGGATGCCAGAGGTGATCCTGCTACTCCCCTGACTGTGGATCCAGAGAGCTCTGGGGGCAAGCTTGAGTATCTGTGAAGACTTCCATTGTTCATGTTAGGAACCAGGGTAAAAAAAAAGTTCTCAGGCTTCTGAGAATTTTCTCTTTTTGCTGCCTTCTTGCTGTCTGGGTGTATACCCTTGGAAGGAGGAATAAATCCTTCTCAAGGGGCTGTGTTGCTCTTGATGCCAACTTAACTTTGAAGCAAAATTGGATTATGGGAAAAAGATTATGCAACTTAGAAATTTTAAAATTCAAATCCAGCATACACAGATAAGAAGTTCTAGAGTGGGTTCAAGGCTTGAGAGTGACTGAGGCAATTGTAAACTGAGAACTGGCCAGAGCTAAACCCCATCTCCTTTTGCAGTGGGCATAGCAGGTCCTTGATCCAACTTGTCCTGCCTGGGTAGACTCCTAGACAAACTAATGCTTTATAGCTACAGATTCTTTGCTTCCTTTACTTGGTGCTCTGAGACATCAAACCTTAACAGGATACCAAACACAGAATATTAAGTAGCTTCATGGCCCTTTTCTTTGGTACTTCATAGGATATGATTGTAATTCTATGACATTAATTTAGGGCTTTGGAAGTAGCATCTTTGATTTTCTCTTCCTTTTTATCATCTCCTTCTCCACCGGGAACTTGGACTCAAAAAGATTATGTACTCAGAGAAAGACTGCACCACTTAAAAGCATCTCTAATAATAGAAACTTAATGATTCTTAGTTGGAGTTGTCTTCTGTATATCTCAGCCTAAAAATCCTTAGGTCTCTTAGTGTTTCCCTGCAGGTCTCCTTTGGCTCTGCAGTTCTCAATTTGCAGTTTTAATATATTTTAAGAACTTGTGTGCCCTCTAGAGGAGCAATATAAAAATTCAGGGTTGACAGAAGTTGCCAAATTTTGTTTTGTTTTAGTAGCCATCAAGTCTTATATTTATTTATTGCTTTGTATAATTTAGAAGAATTTGTATACATGAACACTTAAGTTATTAGGCACAAAGATTGGAGATCAAAAGGGTGGAAATTTTCCAAGAAGTGTAGAGAAAGATGGAACTGTCAGACCTCTCTCCATGCTGGGAAAAGCCTAGCGAACTTCACCTGGGGGCAGAGGAGAAAAGTTCTTTATCGAAACTTACTAAAAGTTGTTTTTGGTTTATTGCATATATTTTTAAATTTTATTTTTAAAAAATTTTTATTTTTTATTTTTATTTAGTTATACATGACAGTAGAGTGTATTTTGATGTATTATATATACATGGAGTATAACTTCCCATAGTTGTACATGATGTGGAGTTATACTGGTCATGCATTCATAGATACTGTCTTTCCTATTCCCACCCCCGCTTCATTCCCCTTTGTCTATTCCAATGAACTTCTATTCTTCTCTCCTCCTTCCAGCTTGTTGTGTGTTAGCATCCATATATCACAGAGAACATTCAGCCTTTGGTTTTGGGGGATTAATTGCCAAGTTTTGAGGTTGAATTTTGATTACATGTAAAAGAGGTTGACTCTTGAATGGAATTATTACCCTTGTCATGGCTACTCTTATTTATAAATCTAGGTACTTAGATAGAACAAACCTAGATTTTCCTAATGAGTTGTATTTTAGAATGAGCAAAACAGTATTTATGCATATTGAATGGTTTTTAAATAATCATAAATATAGCAAGATGTATTTTTATTTTATTTCTATTATAGATTTTGCCTTAGTTTATAACTAAATATATCCTTTGTTACAGAGTTCAACCTTTATTTTCCTTTCCCAAGAAATATATTCTTTCAGTCACTTTTATGATAAAACATGTACATAGTATATGTGAAACTTGTTACATTTGAAACATATTTATCAATTCTTATACTATTTTCACAAAATTCAATCACCTTTTAAATATCAAGAATTTTGTAATATTCTGAAGGTGGAAAATAAAATTAAAAATTTATAGGGAAAAATGAGAAAGAAGCCATTTGGAAATAATCAGGAAAATCTAGTTTTAACTAACTATAATATCTAAATTGCACTAACTATAATATCTAAACTTTACTATGATTAATATTTCTAATTGAGATCTTGCTTCTAGTTTAGTTTGTTATAAAATATACATAAAATGTTGCATATTGTTTTCTTATCGTATTTTCTATATAGTGATATTTTAGTAATCATATCCATTGCATAAATTATAATAATTTCTCCCATTGCTGGGCAGCTAGATTGCTTCCAATTGTTAATAACAGTTATATTTAATATTTTTTTAATCATGTAGCATTTTCCATGGTGTGTGTTTGTTGGCTGGTTCATCTTTCTTTCTTTCTTTCTTTCTTTCTTTCCCTCTCTTTCTTTTTTTTTTTTTTTTTGTGTTGAGGATGGAACTCATGGTGTTGTGCCGGTTGGGCAAGTATTCTATCACTGAGCCACACCCTCACCTTCCACATTTGGGTTTCTGTTCCTAGGACTTAATCCTGGCTGTGAAATAACTGAATCAAGAAATGTGATCTTTTAAAAAATGACAGTACATTTTTCTACATCACTTTCTAAGAGAGTTTATGCCAACTCATATATCATCAATCACTAAAGAAAATATCAAGTTCAATACACCTATCCAGCACTGAGTTCTACTGTTTTTAAAATGCTTTGATAATTTAATGGGCCAAAAAAATCCTGTCTGACTATTTTGATTTCAATTTCTTTTGCATTTGGTGAGACTGGACCTTTTTCCAAGTTTGAGTTTTATTTCCTCTTTTGAGGATTCTCTGGAAATCTGGTTCTTATTTTTTTATGTCTTTTCAGGACCTGCAAGTCAGAAATTAAGTTACATTGAAGGTAGGGTGTCTCATAGAAAATCCTGCTTCATAAAGTCAGGCTGCAAATAGCCACTTCTTTAGGTTAAGAATGAACCAGAAGAAAACCTAAACCCATGTTCACCACCTAATTCCTGTTAGGTGCAGGGCAGGCTGAACAAACATTAGCTGCAGGATAGCCCGGGCACTCAAACCCCTCTCTGTATGGTCCTTTATCAACTGATTGCATCAAGTCTGAACACTCAACCCCACTCAAGGCTGAACACTCGACCCCCACCCGTCTGCAATGGAAACCCACATCTGACCCCTATCCTATCTGCCTCAAAGCAGAAGATGACACCCTTAGCAACTACTGTATAATCCAATCATTGTACACCAACAAGGCAGCTTGCAGACCCAGAG